AGAGACCAGAATGCGTTTCACTTACAAGACTGACCTGGGGCAATAGTCTGCCAGGAGGGAGGTGATGACTGCTGCTATGTTTAGCGCGCCTCATTGAGTCATTTGTGGGTCAGTTTCGAACGTGGCAAGTTTAGACCGTTGACGCCGGCACACAATTGCCTCCTCTTGCGAATCACGTCAAAAGGATCTGAACGCGTCCAGTGTGAAGCGGACGGCTCGTAACATTACGGTTAATACTCCCGCAGTATTAACCGGGGTGGCGACTGGATTTGAACCGTGAATCTCGGCAGCGAGCGGAGAACGCTGCAGGCGATGGGCCACGTCACCACCCACGAAGCGAAGGCCTCCTTGCACCGCGTCGGTCACTGGGGTTGTTAGACCATACTTCACCATTCTAGATTTTTTTTATTAATTTACATTTTAATTTTTTTTTACGTGACTTTACCGAAAAAACCTAAGAATATAACATACTTCACCACTCTAATGACTGCTGGTTTTGTGACAGGGAGACAACCAGGACTGGTTGAGATGCCGCTCGCTATTATTTATTTCAGCTGTGGCACGGAATCGAACTCAGGTTGCCGGGTTCATAGTGCAGCGCGGTAACCACCGTGCGTGCCACTGCTTATTTTAAATAACAAATTAATTATTATTTCGTAATTGGTACCCGAGTTTACTGCTTTAGAATATCAATGGCGAAATACAGTATTTCTAGATTTGAAGCTTTCGTGACTGCAAGGATTCATACTCTTAGGTTTTTTCGGTAAAGTCACGTAGGTAAAAAATAATAAAATTAAAATTAATAAAAGTAATAATTAAAATAAGATAATTAATAAATAAATTTTCTTTTTCAATAATGAAATATTTTTATTATTATTCCTTTTATTAATTTTATTATTTTTTACCTACGTGACTTTACCGAAAAAACCTAAGAGTAGAAATACAGTGTACCTCGATGTAACATACAAATAATCGACAGACAAAAGTCCAGTAACCACGTAAACAAATGCTAGTCCATCCACCTGTGGGCCTTCCAGACGGAGCCTTCCCACGTTTGTCTATTTGGTGCCGACAATTGGGAGTGGCGGCGCAGTGGTTAGCGCAATGCGCTGCGAACCCATCATTTTGAGTTGAATTACTGGCCACGGCTGACTGAGGGCTAGCGATATTTCAACTGGTCCCGGGTCTCTCGCCTCCACCAACTCACACTGACCAGCATGGTGAAGTATGGTCAACCGATTCCCATGACTGACACGGCGTGGGGGAGGCCTTCATCCAGATGTGTATTGACGAAAGGACTATAAATTTCGATGTAAAGCTTTCGTGACTGCAGGGATTCGTCTTCTTGGTTCTTTCGGTAAAGTCACGTAGAATGGAAATAATTATTTTATTATGTCTTATTTTTATTATTTTATTATTTCCATTCTACGTGACTTTACCGAAAGAACCAAGAAAAGGACTATAAATTATGATTGTTACTATGCCTGCAGTATTTCATCATCCATGGTGGCGGATGGTGATTTGGGTTCACAAAGGTATTTTATGCAACTGGTCACTGGTAAATGCAAGTCTTTGTGCATTCCCCAGCGTGAGAGAAGCGATCCCTCTAACCGTTGTCGGCAATTCTGTTGTGGAACATTTTACAGAGCTGTACCATGCCGATTATGTCCACGAAGGCAAAACACAATTGCATATGGGCGCTTCTCCGATTAAAAATAGAAATACTGTGCCATTGTGCGCACGTGCATATGCTAGTATATGCGAGCCTTCGATTTTTTTTTGGCTGGCCATCGAACAAAGAGGTCACTGCATCGCGCGCTTTCAGATGCGCTTCTGCGGCCGTCTGGAACGCTCTTCCTTCCGATATTAGGAAGCCACTGGAGCTATGCAATTTTAAATCTAAATTTAAAACTCATCTCTTTAGAACTGCTTTTTTGTGTTTCATCTGTTGTCATTCTCCCCCCCACCCCACCTCCGATTAGAACGGCTGGCTACGTGCGGGTGCAAAATAAGTTCAATATACATACACATAGGTGTGGGCCTTGGGAGATTTAACATGACGCTCTTCCGATTAGCGCGTGGAGTTCAAGGAGCAATAGTGCCGTAATAAAAATAAACATTTTAACAGACCGCATACAGTGCAAACCCCTCCGCTCCACATTCTCCCTCCTTCTCCCACCAGCTCTCTTCTCCTCCTCCATCACATAACGGGGGGGGGGTAAGGGGGGAGTGTTGATTTCCATTCGAGAATTAAACTCCCCGCTCCACCCGCACGTTTACTGACCTCCTTGCGACCGCTCGCAGCATCACCACGAGTAACACAGGCCAACCAACCCAAAGGTTCCGCTGCAACAAGTCAACAAACGTGAAAGGAGGTTTAATAACAAAACATATAACGAGTATTTTTTCACCCCCCGCCCCCCACTACCCCCGTAAATCAATGCTGAATTTTCCAACATTATTCGCAGTTTGGTAGCGTTTTTTTTATTCTTATTTTGTTTTTTATCTCTGAATGTTTTTTGTGTTTTTTTGTGTGTGTTTAGTGTCAGTAGTGCACTGGTCCTGCAGTGTTCACTTTCAGACGTAGGCATTTATACCTCGAGTAAAAAATAAAACGTACGTTGTAGCGTTTCTTTGTAGGTCGTAACACTGCTGCTCTTGTTTGCGTTAAACTTTCGTTTTACAAAGTCGGGCGTCGTGGTTGCTCTCGAGGCAATGCGTAGCCCTCTCTCTCTCCTTCTCTACCTCTCCCCACACATCCCAAACACAGGCAAACATCGTGGGACCCTCCCTCGCCGGCATCAAAATATAAGCATAGGTTTTAATCCTTTCTGGCAATACAACAGGTGTTAAGTTTTAAAACAGAAACCTTTTGCAAGGAATCATGTCTGAATTAACCACACGTACTCGTGGTGAACATGCAAAAAAGAACATGCTTATGGTAATATGTGCATTGTCTTTGAAACTGATTAGTCCACACCAGAGACAGCTTTCTTTCGAGCCTAGTCTCAAACGGTGTTCGACAAGAGGACGCCAAGAGGCGAATGATTCCTTTGCAACAACCACAAAAACGGTTTCTGTTTGGTGTTTAAACATCTTAAAACCTGTCTTATTGCCAGAAAGGGGTAAAACCAATTCTTATAACGGGGAAAACAACTTGAGAACGTAATGGAAACAAAACTGAGCCAACGACGCACGGCACAACAACAACAACAACCACCAACAAATCAAAACGGCCAATGTTTTCTGAGCCGGGTTCCTGGATTCCTGATAAACTGAACCAACCCAAGACCGAGTGCGTCTTTCTTCGGCAAGCTTCCATCGGATGCCTGCTCGTACGGAAACAGCGGGCGCGTTGTGTACACGACGGACGGACACGAGTGCTGTGTTATTGCGCACGGGAGGAGGAGGATGAGGAGGAGGTTTGGTTGTTTTGCTGGGTAGCTTGTCCACGGTGGTCGGTGCGCACCGCTACCGCAAGTCGTTCCTCGGCACCACAAGCTCCACACTTCCCATTCGCAACATTTGCTCTTGCGTATCAAAGGGGTACAAACGGGGTGGTTTGATTTACCGGATTTATGGGCAAATAAGGAGGAGGGGTTGGGGCGTGTTCCCTTCCCGACCACCTCTCCCCACTGCCTTTAAAGGCGCTGGTAAACATAAAAGACCAAGTGCTAAATAAGCGGGGAAAATAATATTTGCTATAAAACTGCTAAATTCAATAGCCATCAGTTTGTGTGTAAAAAAAGTGGTATAAATAAATAAAACAATTGATAAGATTGTGATTTCTGGAATCGCCCCGAGAAAGACGCAAATTTAGGGCCGATAAACCGAGCAGAAAAATACACAAATTAGCACCCAAAAGAACGATTCACCATCCGCTTGGCCACTTCCCAAGCACGCCGCTTTGCGCCCCTTCCAATTCGCGCACCGATCACGAAGTTCATCATCCATGACGGAACGCTCGGTGCTTGGGATTTTGAAACGATACAATAAAGAAAAAATCTCGTTCATGTTACAGGTACACATTTTAAATAAATGAGGAGTTAGGAGGGAGCGGCATCGTAACAGACACAACAGCCTCAGTTGAACACGCGTCGCGCGCACGTCTAGAGACGGGCATGTATGTATATGTGTATATCTGATGGCAGACGGCTAAATCTTTAAACGAGGCTCCACCGACGCAGGCTTAGGGGTCAACGCGGCCGCAACGGGGTTACATCCGGCCACGCGGTGTGCGCTGAGTCTCAAGTCATCGCGAAAACCGCGATGCGCGAAAAAGTTAAACAAAAATTTGTTTCAATAAATAAATAAATGCTTCGCCATTTCCTACAACGGGTTCAATCACAATTTACACGTAAACGCAAAAATAATAATAAAAATACAAACTGTAACAGAGCCGAGATGCCTCGGTATTTTTGACGTAATTTTAGAAGCGCAATTGTATGGTACCATAATAATAACGAACAAACAAAAAAATATAACTTAATTGCCCAGCTTTTGATCCACCAAATCATGCGCTCGTTTTAGAAAGAAAATAAACCCCGACGACACAGCGTAACTCATCTCTCCCCGCCGTGGAGATGGAGTGGGAGAGAGAAGAGAGCGAGCGAGCGAGCGTGCGGCGCGAGGGATTCGTTTTCGTTTTTAGTTCGTGTGACCATCTCTCTCATTTCTGATCGATTGCCCCAAAGCCTCTCCCTGGCCTGGTCGCCTCACGACGTCCCAATGGGGGAGGGGGGGCGGGCGGGCGGGGGGGGAGAGAAGAAGACGGAAAACCACGGACAGAGACGAGGACGTCAAACGGTGGGTACAGACGGCAAGACGCTCGTCACAAGACGACAACGCCACCACCACCTCCACCTCGAGGAATACACGTGGGTGGGTGCCCCGCCCCTCCCCCCCCTCTTCTTCAAGCGAAGTCTGCCCCCCCCCACCCCCCCCGGCACGCGCCCCCCGCCCCCATCCCTGACCCCCCCCACTCACTCCACCCGGGGGCAGCCGGGGGGAGGAGGGGGGGGGGCTCTGAAGTGACTGCTGACCGAAGTGGTGGGCGGAGGGGAGGCTCAGTCCCAGCCATTGTCCTTGATCATGTGCGCCAGCTCGATGATGTACTTACCCTCCTTGTACTTCTGACTGCTCTCGAACGCGTGCTCCTGCGCACACGAACACGGCGTCAATGAAGACACACGGCGGTTAAGGAGGAGGAGGAGGGTCGTTGCAGCTCACGCAAAAACGGGGCCTTAACTACACACAACGGCGGGGTTGATGTGATGAGAGAAAAAAACAACCCATATTTTGAGACAGACGACTATTTGTTTCACTGAGTTGGAGTCGGTAAAAAAGATTAACCCGTAAAAACTAAGTTGTTCACTATAAATCCTTTATATGCGTGGCGGCTAGAGTCCTCTCGTCCTCTGGCTTGAGATGGCTGCCACCTATGGGTCAGATGATTACCTGCCATCATTAAGCAATTGGTAATTAAATATAATTTATTTTTTCCTAAAAAGTGTAAAATTTTGGAAAAAAAATTTCACGAAAATAAGTTGTCACGCACAACGAGTCTGTGTGCAAAATGTCAGCTCGATTGGATCACGGGAAGTGGGTTAAAAAACGACCGAAAGATTTGCACGGTCGTAAGCAAGCAAGTGAACTTAATATAAAGGATTTTAAAAAGCGCAAAAACAAACGTAAATACTGCAGGGAATCGGATCTGAATTTGAATGCAGGCCTTCACCGTTACTCGAGCATCCCAGGCATCACTTGCCGTGCGATGCCAAAAGCGCACACAGCTGTTGATTTAAATTTCCTAATGCCCCGTTAAGATATAAACACGATCCATCGCTTTCAGTGCCGCCAGCGCCCGTGTTGTACCAATGCCGGACCCTTTGGCGTCTGCCCGGGTCACTCGTGCATACGAGACGATCCTGGCCTATCCATTTCTCGCCTGGTTTAACAAAATAAACTCCTCGCTAAGATCAAAATCGTACAATTTTGCACAACAACAACACCATGGCCATGTTAGGAGCGCATTACCGCATTCAGCAATGGCAACAATAAACGGCACTGCGGACAGGGGCCGGATCAGGCCCTCATTTTTAGGCCCTCATTTCCATATTGAAGTAACAGCTGAGTGACGGTAGCGTGGCCATCAGAAATATTGTGTCTTTCAACTCCTATGACACCATTCATGACATTGCCACAGGTGAAGCTATGGAGGGGGGGGGGGGAAACATTGACTTAAAGCTTTCGTGACTGCAGGAATTCATATTCTTTGGGTCTTTCGGTAAAGCCACGTGGGCAGAAAAAATAATACAAATATCACGACGTTTCGATCGCAACACAAGCAATCGTCATCAGGTGAATTTTTTTTATCTACGTGGCTTTACCGAAAGACCCAAATAATATGGAAAAAACATTGTTTAAAGAAATGAATGTCGTGAGCGATTTACGTTTGATGAATTTAAATCAAAGTGTTTCTTTTACATGGGTCAATAAATACGTTTGACGAATTGGTCATTTTTTTATTGAAATCTAATTCATACTCTTTGGTTCATTCGGTAAAGTCACGTAGAGAGAAAAAAATAACTAATAAAACACGACGTTTCGATAGCAACACAAGCCATCGTCTTCAGGTGAAAAAAATGAATACATACTTAGGCCCTTCCCTCCTATTCGCCTTAAGCCTATCATAACACTAATCCGGCCCTGACTGAGGGGTGCCAGAGACAATTAAGAGCAATGAGCGTGGGGGGGGGGGTATACACATCTCCGTGTCACTGCACTGGGGCACGAGCAAGGCAGAAGCCAACACCACACAAGGTGGAACCTCAGCAGGCCGGGGAGAGATCTGCTGACGAGCACGCAGCACTTCTCTGGGAGGGCACAAACCTGCCCTGCATCTGGCACTGGGCCAAAGCAATTCATCTGTGCATCATCCCTTTCCTCTCCCATGGCATCGCTTTAAACTCACTCACCTGGCTTTAACCCACACCACTGGCTTTAACCCACGCCCAGACTGCATGAACCTACACCACCGGCTGCATGAACCCACACCACCGACTGCATGAACCCACACCACCGGCTTTAACCCATGCCACCGACTGCATGAACCTGCACCACCAGCTTTAACCCACGCCCAGACTGCATGAACCTACACCACCGGCTTTAACCCACGCCCAGACTGCATGAACCTACACCACCGGCTACATGAACCCACACCACCGGCTGCATTCACCCACGCCACCGGCTTTAACCCACGCCACCGGACTGCATGAACCTACACCACGGGCTGCATGAACCCACGCCCAGACTGCATTCACCCACGCCACCGGCTGCATTAACCCACGCCCCCGACTGCATTCACCCACGCCCCCGACTGCATGAACCTACACCACCGGCTGCATGAACTCACGCCCAGACTGCATTCACCCACGCCACCGGTTGCATGAACCCACGCCCAGACTGCATTCACCCACGCCACCGACTGCATGAACCCACGCCACCGACTGCTTCAACCGGCACGCCTACTTAAGACCCAGGGAAACCAACGCACGTATTTCCAGCCCAGGGTGGTTTTGCAGTTTTCGCAGTAGATGTCGGCGACCGCGTGCAGCCCGGTCAACAGAACCCGCTCCTCTGCCGGCCCGCAGCCCACGTTCACTCTGCACAGACAAAGACAAAGATCCCCCGTATAGCCATACAGGGCTGTTGGGGCAAGTGCTGTTAGGGAGTACCTGTGAAGGCCGAGCGGCGCGAGGGGGCGGCGTGACCAGCACCACTGTTCCGGCCAACTTTATCTGCCCGGTGCCGATGATTGCACGCAGCGCACACCAAGTGCTCCTTTAATTTCGCACAGAATATTCACCGGCAACAACTTTATTGACTCCCCCGTTCCCCGGGCTGAACCAAAGCCCCGATTCCGAACAACGCGCGGCACAAATCAGCAGACACATCCTAACGGGCATCACCGAAACACACCATTCCTGTCGCCTGGTAGAGTCGAGTCGTCCGCAGCAGATTCGTCGCGGGCCACGGGTGACCTGGCGACCGTTTGGTTGGCATCAGTCGGCAACGCGGCGGGGAAAGAAATCGGCCTTTGGGAGGTATTTCTCGGTCAACCCCCTCGTCTTGTCCCATCTTAGTTCGGTCCGCGTGGTGGTGGTGGTGGTGGTTGTTGTTGTTGTATTTTGTTTGTTTGTAGCTCAACTGTGAGACGACCTCTTATGTTTGATCTCTTCCCCCCTCCCTCCCCACCGCGCGCGTTGGTGGTGTAAATCGGCCGGCGTTCTCGCTGACCGTTCCATTAAAGGGCACGTACAACTCCAGGCTTCGGAGGTGACGGGGGGCACAGCGTCTGACAGCGAACCTGATTTATTTTCTCCACGCGCAATGGGATTGTAATTCATGATGCGCACAGACGCTGCAAAGACAAACGTGCCTCTCATAGCCTTAGCAGACTTTTGGGGCAAGTGCTGTTAAGCGAGCACCTACGAATCCGGGCATGGTACACGAGGGGGTGGGTGGCCAGCACCGCGCCTGGCCGCCTTTGTCTCCCCAGTGGCGATGTTTGCACACCACACCACGTACTCATTTGAGGCTGAGTCGACCTCAGGGAGGCCCAGGGACCGGTTCAGATAATCGTCACCGGTGTTGGACGCGAATGGGACATTTACCCGGGCCGCCGGGTTCGTAGCACACACGCACACATACACACTATCCACACACACATACACACTATCCACACACACACACTATCCAGTATCCACACACATACATACAAACACCATACACAGAGTAAATGCACTCTGTTTAACATGTAGGCTTTCGTGACCAATATCAATAATAGAGGTGTTTTGGGTGGCGGGTTTAACGACAGATTTATATATTTACGCGATCTAGCCCAAAACACCTCATTGATGTCCATATACAACAGCAGTGTCCTTTACATCAATTGGTACATTCACAATTCACGCGAATCGAAGTGCTCTCGAGTTCGTGCACAGTTCCAACGTCTCGCGTTGCGTCCGATCCAATGAGACGAGCAAAACGGGACCAATGAGTCGGTGAAAACGAGACGCCAGCGAATCAACTGTTCCACGGAATCGCGATCCCGAATCGCGACGATCCACCGAATCACTCGGCAATCGGGGCAGGAGGTGGGGGATCACCTCGCGCAAGGCCGAGCGGACGCGAGTTGGCCACCTGTCACAGACGTTGACAATTCGAATCCAGTGGCCCGCCTGGTCAATACTGCAAGACTCACGGAGGCTTTCCTTAGCAAAGACAAGCGTCGCAATCATAATAAACAAAACACACACAAACACATGCACGCTCAGCCTAAACAGACGCTGAACTTCGAGGCTCACCGACCGCGCCTGGCCAAGACCAGGTTTTGCAGAATCCCATCAGCGGGTGCAGGGGACGTGCAGAATTACACAGCTCCTCCAGGAGACAAAACTGAGCCTGGCATCAATTCGATCGGCCGCTACATCGGGAGCACTGCCACGCGCGCGCCGCGCCATCCTGCGTGCGTGCGTGCGTGCGCGGATGCCCAGCCTCTCCCGCGCGCCGATATTCCGCATTATGTCGCGCTCACGGCCAAATCGCGGCTCCGCTCGTTCGATACAAATTGTTGGCCGGGGGAAGGAAATAGGAGAGAGAGAGAGGGGGGGGCAGGGAGGGAGCCGGGTGGGGAGGCTTCTCGTCTTGTTCCGTTGATCGACTTCCCCGTGCCCGCTCGGCCCTACGGGGGGGGGGGGCCGTTGACGGCGCCGCTGTGTGTACGTCCGCGCTCTTCCAGCGGAGGTGGCGGTTTTGGCTGTGGCAGCGGCAGTTTGCATTCGCGCGCGCTATCGCAGCATGGGACGCGCGCGGATGATGCAACGGGTCATCATCTACAAGTCGATTCTAATACGACTGTCCTGGATTTTTCCGTTTATATTTGTCTTTCCAAGGAAAGACCGCACTGAGCCTCAAGACTCCCTTCTTGGAGGGCCCTGTATCGGCATAATAACACTTTCATTTTGTTTCGCATCATTCATGCTACTAGCATCCCATAACGAGGTATATTAATTATATATGAGGACCAAATCCCATATACAGCCAATACCAAGCAAATGAAAAGCCTACTACCGAGCAAAATCTAAAATGAATAAACAAATTAAGAAAATGCATCAAAAGCAAAGGCACAAACAACAAATAACGTATTACAACAAATAGGTTTGGCAGCCTTCGTTTGGCAGCCTTCATGAATGATTGTTGAGTTTCACGAGTAGAAAACCCGAGTATCCAGAGGAAACCCACTGTGCATACGAGAGGGAAACAGCACAGATTTATTAAAGAATTCATCGCTGTGCTTTTATCCCTTGGCCACCTCCCCAGCCTAAGCCTGCGTCTGCTGGTATTTATCGGCAGTCATCCATCCAAGCACTCACCAGGCTCAAGCGCAATTATTATTTATTACAATTTTTTATGCTTGTTTACCCAGGAAAGCCTCCTCTCATCGAGTCTCTCTCTTTCAGGAGGGTGCTGCCAAGTTTTTTTGGGGGGGGGACGTCGATGGATGATCTTGGTGATAAGGGGCCGTCCATAAATGACGTCACGTGATTTTGGACGATTTTTGACCCCCCCCCCCTTCGTCACACGGCGTCACAAAAAGTCAGACCCCCCCTCAAATATGACGTCACAAAGCTCTGACCCCCCCCCCCAAGAAATAAAAAACGCTTCAAATCGCTTTAAACTATTGTCATTGTAGTGCGAATTTAATGTGGCACTACTGTAGGAGAAAACATTTATTAAAACTACTTTTTAATTAAGTAGTTGTCTATATTTATTTAAAGTTGTGCATTTTGATGTGACGTCACATTTCTCATACCCCCCCCCCTCGTCGCACATCGTCACAAATGTCTGACCCCCCCAGCCCCCTCCCCTAGGTGCGTGACGTCATTTATGGACGGCCCCTAGGGTGTCAGCCAAAGGTGAGAAGACGCCCGAGAGTAAGACCACTGCGAAGATGGAGCCATGCAGGAGCGAGACGCGGCGTTGCAGTGCCACGACAGCAATGGCGTTGGTGCTAGGAGGCCTTCATCCTGCAGTGGCTCGCTCACGGCTAAAGACGATATGCTCAGAACACGATGCGTCTCATACATTCACACCGCTCTGTCATCAACGCGCCCCCATCATCATCATCCTCATTATCCTCGTCATGATCAACATCGTGAGGACACGGAGGGAGGGCCACATGCACCACCGTGGGCACCAAAATGGACACATTTCACGAATCGAATCGTAAACCACAAAATCGAAGGAATCTACCAAAATCGTCTGGGGTGGACGAATCGGCTCCATCCACGCTCGAGCGGCATCGACGTCCTGTACCGGGCGGGCGGACTGGGCGAGGCGAACGCGTCGATAATGCCGTGATAAGTCATTTGCGCTAACGGCACAGCACGGGGGTTGCATCCGATGCCAAAGCACGCCACCAAATGTGGAGCCGCGGGGCATCGGATGGCACATCGGCAGCCGCCGCCGCCCAGCCGCGGTGGCCAGCGTTGCGCCTCCCGTACAGCCTGGGCTGTGACCCCGTACAGCCTGGGCTGTGACCCCGTTACCGAAGTAATCGATGGCCCCACCGATCGTCGGATCGATGGCTCAACCGATCGTGAAAACACAATTGGGAGAAAAAAAAGATGTCTCACCTCTGCTCTTAAGTGTGTCGCTGGACGGGAGGTAACGGACGAGCTTGGTGACGTCATCGGCATCATCAGCCGCTGTAACGCTGGGCGTGGCTTGTTTGGGGGGTTTCCCACCTTCGGAAGGTGGGATGTGGGGGTGGGCGCCATTTTTCAAAGGGCCCACCGGGTAATTGACCACAAAAAGGAAGTCGTACAATCTGTAGCCGACCAATCGATTGATCGTGCGGGCTCAAGTCTCAAGCAAGGCGGTGGCTTCCCCCTCCGTACACACACAGCCGTGATGTAAATAGAGGCAAACTTACACAGAGTTGAACAAATACGCCCTTCCTTGGCTCCCTTGGAAGGACTGCACGGGGCGGGCGGGGGGAGGGACAGAGAAGAGGATATTTATTAAAAACAACAACAACAAGAGACCGGGACCTGTTGGCAGTGACACGAGCACAAATGAAAACACACTTGCCAAGTTCATCATGAACGCTGCCCGCTTAACACAAACAGCAAGCCGACACGTCGGCAAGTAGAACTCCCTTTGCTCTGTGGCTCTGAAGCAGGACAATTGCCAGAGACAGTGGCCCGCTGCGAATACGTCCGTCATCGTTCCGCCGATTGCCGGAATATCGTCAACAAAGTGGACAGTTCCAAGATCGCACGAGTTTGATTTCAAGGACACCATCTCAATTGCGAATGCAAAACCAACAGCGCACGCTCAATACGCTGTGTGAGCGCGCATTGATTTTGGCGCTAGCGGCCGTAGCAGCACGTCTGATTTGGTAAGGATATTTATGTTTCCAGGAATTTTTTTTTGTACTTTTCTGAAGAGCCAAGCCGGTGGCCAAAATCTCAGCATGGCCTCTACCTTCCAAAATATGAAAAGAAAATGCTGTTCCGATTTCTCATCAAACTATAGTATATACATATTATTTACATACCAAATCAGACTCCACGCATACACACACAATTGTACATGCACAGAAGGATCTTGACACTGCTGGTAGCAGTCATCGGCAAGTCCACTCAGCTCCACATATTTCTGTATAACATCAGTCCATCTCCTCTCTAGCCTGTGTCTTTGCCCGTTTAGCCCCCACTATCTGGCCAAACATTAGCCGCTTGGGGACGGCAATGGCTCGGCATGCAGGCTATGACCCAACCAGAACAGCCTCTGTCGGACGAGCTCACCGATGGGACTCTATCCAGCTCTTTCTAGGATCTGTAGCGCCCCTCACACTGTAATCCAGCCTGGTTAGACCCATAATGGTCTGTAGGCAGGCCAGCCTGAATGTTTCAAACCGGCGTAGATGCTCCATTAGAGGGGTCCACATTTTGCAAGCAAAGAGAAGGGAGGCCGAAACTGTGGCCGAGAAGACCCGAAGCTTCCTGTAGAGTGACAGGACAGGTAGCTTTCACACAGCGTTACGCAGTTGATGAAAAGATAATATCGCTCGGCTGATCCGGAATGAGACCCCTGCTGCCAAGCCCGGAGCTGGTTATAAGCACACTGTCCAGGTACAGAAACTTCTCCACTCTCTCCACAACTGGCCCATCACTCAAGGAAAGTTGAGGCGGGTGGAGTATTTTATGTTATAAAATACCCATGCTGATGGTAAGGCTACATCTCTTCGTGGCATGCTCCAAGTTCTCTCACACACACGCACGCAGAGGCTCGCACACACACAATGGGCTGACACAAATATATAGGGGCTCACACACACACAGAGGCTCACGCACACACACAGAGGCTCACACACACACACAGAGGCTCACACACACACACAGAGGCTCACACACACACACAGAGGCTCTCACACACACAGAGGCTCACACACACACACAGAGGCTCACACACACACACAGAGGCTCACACACACACACAGGCTCACACACACACACACAGAGGCTCACACACACACACAGGGGCTCACACACACACACAGAGGCTCACACACACACAGAGGCTCACACACACACACACAGAGGGGCTCACACACACACAGAGGCTCACGCACACACACAGAGGCTCACACACACACACAGAGGCTCACACACACACACAGAGAGGCTCTCACACACACAGAGGCTCACACACACAGAGGCTCACACACACAGAGGCTCACACACACAGAGGCTCACACACACACACACAGGCTCACACACACACACACAGAGGCTCACACACACACAGGGGCTCACACACACACACACAGAGGCTCACACACACAGAGGCTCACACACACACACAGAGGCTCACACACACAGAGGCTCACACACACACAGAGGCTCACACACACACACACAGAGGGGCTCACACACACACACAGAGGCTCACGCACACACACAGAGGCTCACACACACACAGATGCTCTCACACACACACACAGAGGCTCACACACACACACACAGAGGCTCACACACACACACAGAAGCTCACACACACACAGGCTCACACACACACACACACAGAGGCTCACACACAGGGGTTCACACACACACAGAGGCTCACACACACACAGAGGCTCACACACACACAGAGGCTCACACACACACACAGAGGCTCACACACACACACAGAGGCTCACACACACACACAGAGGGGCTCACACACACACAGAGGCTCACACACACACACACAGGGGCTCACACACACACACAGAGGCTCACACACACACACAGAGGTTCACACACACACAGATGGGCTCTCACACACACACAGAGGCTCACACACACACAGAGGCTCACACACACACAGAGGCTCACACACACACACACAGAGGCTCACACACACACACAGAGGCTCACACACACACAGAGGCTCACACACACACACAGAGGCTCACACACACACACACACAGAGGCTCACACACACACACAGGGGCTCACACACACACACAGAGGCTCACACACACACAGATGGGCTCACACACACACAGAGGGGCTCACACACACACACAGAGGCTCACACACACACAGAGGCTCACACACACACAAGAGGCTCACACACACACAGAGGCTCACACACACACACAGAGGCTCACACACACACACAGAAGCTGGGGCTATCACGCCCACACACCGCAACGGTAAAAATATCCCGCCTGACGTCAGCGTGCTGCAGTGCGGATGTCTCGAGCCACAATAACAAGCACTCATCGCGACGCCCCCCCCCCCCACTCAGCACCCCCACTACCACCCCCCCTTCCCACAGCGCCACCGTTGCCATTGTGCTGATCGTGGGCAGTGACGGTGGTGAAGGGGAGACCGAGCAGGGCCGAGTGATGCCCAAGGAGGCTTTCTGCGCCACCCTTCTCACCACCACCACCACCTGATTTATTCTTGGGAGCCGATGTTGGTTCGCATCATTCAGGCTGCCCGCTGAGAGTGGGTTTGAGAGAGGTGGGGGCGGAGGAGGAGGAGTAGGTGTGCGCTGACACGCATGTGGAGGAGGCGCGTGAAGGACGCTGCTGCTGGGCAGTTGGGAGGCCGTCGCCCTCCAGCAACAACGGAGGGCGGAGGAGCGACACTCACAACAACGAGCGGAGCGCCGGGTGGCTAAAAGGGCTGGCACGGTGCGGAGCACAGTTGATGCATCTGCCAATCGTCTCAGTCGGTTAACACATGGCACCTGGGTCTATTCCGTGACCTCCTGCCAATGACCTTTCGACATTTCACGTGGCTTCTAAGTGCCACTGGCCTGGCACGAGCGCCGTGGTGAAGTTGCCACCACTTAGTTGTGAACGGCGACTGTTGTTGTTGTTGACACGCGCGGCGCTTCTCCTACAATGAGCCCCCACCCCATCACCACAATACTGGATCTGGGCCGCATCAGCGCACAGTAGGTGGTGGTGGTGGCGCTCTGCCAACAGATTACGACAAAAATAAATTGAAAATTCACAACGGTGCTCTCCTTTTGGCGTATCTGCTGAGTTTCACTCTGGGGGTGAGATTATCATCTCTCAACATCGGTTCACTTCTCGTCACATTGGGGTTTTGTTTGGTCACGGGGAAGTAAAAAAAAGAAAACCCGCTCTGACATCTCCACTGCTGACCCCACGGGGACCGGCCAAGGCACTGGATGGGTTTTTTAAACATTCCGTGTCTCTCCCACGGTTGTCTTTCAGATTGCGTGCAAACAATGGAAACGAGCTGCATGGTCGATCAGCCGGAGCGAGCTCAAGGAGCACGCTCCAGGAATGGGACAAAGTCAGCCATGAGCGTGGAGTAGCATTTATGAGGGTGTGTTGACCTCAGCTGACAATCATATTTTCGTGATGTGATTTGCCGACTTTGGTGCAAGCGCACCGCCCCAGCCCTGCTGAGATCCTGGGTTCTAATATAGATTACAGATGCCTGTGCTTTTTAAACCGGGTTCTCAAGCGTAGCGAGTTGACGGTTTCAGCCTCGTTACCAATGACTGGCATAGAGACGCATAGATTGTACCTATGTTGAACTTATTTCACACCGCACGGAGATAACTGCTAATCGGAGGTGCGGGGGAAAGACAACCAATTAAACACAAAAATCGGTTCTAAAGAAATGAAGTATAGTAATAGGTTTTTACCCTTTCAACTGGTACAAAAACTGACACCTTTATACAAGGGATCGTGTTTGCAATAACCACAACACAAGCAGTCAAAATGCAAACAAAAAGAAACAACTCTGATAATGATATGCACTGTCCTTGAAGTTGATTGGTCCACACCCGAGACAACTTTTCTTAGAGCCTAGTCTCCATTGGAGTTTTCAATCTAGATTTACGCGTAGACTAACATCGACTGAGTTGTGATTAAACTGGGTTCTCAAGCGTACACAAGTTGTGTGCCTCGTGTGTGATTCTCCCACGAGTAGTTCTGTAGGATCATATTCTGGGGCCTCTGCAAGGCAGGGTGGTGCACTGCTTGCTGCGAGAGTTCCGAATTTTTTGTTCCCATTACGCGATGACAATGTCACAACTGGAATATACGACGACAGGGAAATGCATCCTAAAAAAAGGCGTCATATTTCCTACACTTCACCCACAGTGCAGGATAATGCAACAGAAAGTTAGACTGTGATGCGCAACGGGGGAGATCCAATGACATTGTCATGTTTCAAGTTGGTTATTGCCAAGCTTTCTCATACGAACATTTGTATTCCCCCGAAGACCAAAGGTCAACTGAGTGATGTTGTTGGGATTATGATGACATCAACGGCATTGGCTCATTTGACCTCTTGGACTTTAGCCCACTCACGATCATTATGCTTCCAATGAGACCACATATTCACCACCAGTTCATGTGCCGCAGCGAGATGGATTACGGCATCGCGTGACCGTGAAGGGTGGCGACAATGGTAGAGAAGGTTTTCATGCA